AACAAAGAGTGAAAAATTTAAGGGGGTCTGAATACTTTCCGTACCCACTGTATATTGTAGTAATTGGGCGGGTTTTGTAGCGAAAACCTGGCAACCCTGCACCAGACAGAGTTATCGGCGATTCTCCCTATTGTAAAGTCATGCAGTGTGTAACCTCCTGTCGTCGTTCCATCGTGCAGTGTGAACACAGCAACAACTATATGCTACCCCAGATAGTCGTTCAGTGTGAAACCAACAGTGATGCGATGTCTTTGAAAATTGTGCAGTGTGAACTCGGCATAACTTGCTCAAGGACTTCTCTCTGTGCCAATCACAGCAGGCTTGGCCAGCTGACCAATCAGAGCAGAGTAAGCTTATGGAAGGGAGGGGTTTGCTCTGAACTTACTTGGAATGAATCGTTTCGAAATCATTGGCAAATGACTTTAATATTAAATGTATATTCTGAGAAAATTACAATGTTTTCTGACCTTAGATGCATTTAAACCTGATGTAGGGGACTCCAACACAATATTAGGACACTTTAAAATACCATATGACCTGCTCTTTAATGAATTTATGCTTTTAAAATGTTGTAGTCTAGAATATTTAGTATGCATATTCCTTGTATTTCTGTGTTGGAGAATCAATGGAAAAAAGGAAAAAAGAAAAAAAAACAACAACAACATTGTGACACCAAGATAGGCCATTATAAGGGGGCCACTGGGTTTGCTATAGCCCAAGGGCCCTATGTGTTCTTAATCCAGGCCTGCTCCCACCCCATTTCACCACCACCAGCAGCCTGAACCGGTGATACAAAACAGGATGGATCCATGGTTTCATGTTGTTTACACCAAATTCTGACTCTACCATCTAAATGTCACAGAAATCATGACTCATCAGACCAGGCAACATTTTCCCAATCTTCATATTCAGATCAGCCCATCTTGCACCAACAACCATGCCACATTCAAAGTCACTTAAATTACATTTCTTCGCCATTCCGATGCTCGGTTTGAACTTCAGCAGATTGTCTTGACCAACACTGTGTCTATACCGGATGTGACCGCTGTTGCACTGTCTTTTGTCATGTAGTGTCATGCTGCTCATGTCTGGTGTAGACACGGTGCAAGTCTACAAGTCTAAATGCAATGAGTGATTGGCTGATCAGTTAAACAGAGGCATTTAATAAAGTGGCCGGTGAGTGTGTGTAAGTAAATATATATATATATATATATATATATACATGTGTGTGTGTGTGTGTGTGTGTGTATAGTTATTTATATAATTGTAATTGTATGCCACTTGATATTAACTGTGGAACTGCACCTGATTTTATAGGCCTCGAAAAACACTTCTGGAAAAAAAAACAGCTTGTTGGCTTATTTCAAGGTCTAAAACTTTGTATAATTTATTTGATAAATGTCTATGGACAAAATACATCAGGACCAATGGCCACTGCAAATGTGGGTAATCTCTATACAAGTACAGAGTTTATTTAAAATTCTTTAGTCAAATATAAAATTATGTCTGGGGAGTTTGGCACAGGGGGCAAGGCCTTGCCTGCTAAAACTCAATTGAGCTACAAAATGTACAATAAGATGATGTCTACAAATGCTAGTGGACAAAGTACTGTACCCTTATAATGACTGCGAGGCACTGAATTCAGTTTAGGTTAAGCACTTTACATATGCAGCTACATCATAATTTTGATCATTTTTTCTTGTTGGATCAAGATGTCATCAACTTCAATGCAGTTTAAGATTTCTGAGGTTAGAAGATAAGCAGTAAAATAAACAACATGCTGGGAAAATGACTGAAGACAAGGAGAACGTCCCTCTTCAACCCCTACCGATCAACGTAATAGAAACATCACAATGACTACCACAGAGAAAAAGCCTTTTCCCAACCGTATAATATAAACGGACATTTCCATCTGTTCAATGGTTCCTCAATGAAATACAAATCAAACATGACGTGAAAAATGAAAGGTCTGGAACACATGAGAGGATCCTGACAGTCTTTATCCTGGAGAACAGCTGAAAGTCACTCAGCATTTGTTTTGCTGTAATTTTAGGTTAGGTTCAGGTCATATTTAAACTATTGGATGTGTATAAACTTGTGTGTCATGTACAGGTACTCACCAGGGTTGCCTTTTCTTCCACGTTTTCCTGGAGGACCTGTGAAAAGAGGGTAACGGTGGGTGAATTGCATATATTTATGTATAATTTATGACTTTGATTGGTCAATGACCACTACAGCTGTGGTCATACTAGAGAAATATCAGTGAAATTTCACATGCAAAAAAAAAATCCATCTGTCTACTGTAAATAGTGTAGTGATGTATGAAGCAACATCCACACATTAGTCATTGTAAAACAAAGCAGCTTTCTGTATGACCAATTAAATTGTATATGTGATATAAACTCTTGTCTTTAGCAACAGGCTGTGCAGATATCACTGATCCCTTCCTCAATGTGAGAGGAACACATCCTTTTCCACAAGCTGGGCTGATCTGTTCTGGTGGAAACTTCCCCGGGAGTCTCCACCCCCAGATAAGAGAGGTGGGAAAAGACGCCTTGCGACAGACACAGGGAAAGACGATTTTTGCAGTCCCCTTCTGCAGCATAATAGTAGCCAAGAATGACATCATATATGTCCAGCCAAACAAACACAAAGACTTCTTCTCACAAAGTAAAGTAGCAGAAACAAGAGAAAATAGAGGAAGGCTGAATTTAGCAGATCCCAGAAAGCTTTGAGAAAAGCTGAAATACATTTACGCATTTGGCAGTGCCATGCTCTACTGAACTACAGGAAAACACTACAAAAGTTTGTGTGCATTAGAATAATTTAACTACAATTGAAATACTAAATGGTTTGGATCAGGGGTGTCCAATCCTGCTCCTGGAGGGCCAAAGTCCTGCAGAGTTTAGCTTCAACCAGCTTCAACACACTTGCCTGGAAGTTGGGTCTGAAGATGGTTTAGATGCTTCAGATGCATTTAATTAGGGTTGGAGCTAAACTCTGCATGTCAGTGGCCATCCAAGAACAGGTTTAGTTACCCCTGGTATAGACAATATAAATTCGTAATTTAAGATGCCACCACTAGAACAGAGTAAATAGCAGGATTATTTGCTTTGATCAATTTGAGATCATTTAATAAAAACATTTTTCATAATCAGAAGTTGCAGCCCTCCTAATGCTCCTTACTAGGAAGCAACAGCACTGAAGGTATATATTCTTCTTCAACACATTTTATTGCATACAGTACTTCAGAAAAACTAGAAACTATAGTGGACCAAAAGTGAGCTTTGTTCATTTTTCGGCTGTTTGTGCTACTTCTGACCTTTTCATAGATGCTCTTGTGTCTCATCTACATGGGCAGGGCTCTTCTGAGACCTTCTGGATTCATTTTTTTCCCACTGAGATGGTATGCATCAAATTGATCAAGTTAGTGGCAAGTGAAGTACGGCATTTATTGATTTGCCAAACAACTGGGTGTAATAAAGATGTTTTCCCTCAGACAATACTGTACACATTGTTCTTTTACTGAAATTAAATTATTCTAATGCACACAAGCTTTTATTTGTAGGAAAAAGACATACTTCTACCCCAACCTTTGCAAAAGGCCCTGTGTTAAAAGGTGAGGCATATGACATTAATTTATAACTTTTATTACTCACATAAAACCTGATTATACTACAAAGTCTCAAAGTTTGCAACCATGTCGAGTACAATATTTGTCATCAAATCATGCAAAGTGTATTTGGTGCTATTTAGCATTCGAGGGATTCACACAAAAAATGGAAATGATGGTCTGTGTGAAAATGTTTCATGAACAATGACTGACAGCCATAATGTCTGGTTTTGAATATGTGAGTGTCATATGGAAGACATTTTGCACACTCTGCTCTACGATCTGTGGTAATCTATACCAACACCCTTATAATGTCTCGCATAAACATCGGCTCCCCTCCACAGGGCATGAGCTGGGCGTGGGAGATTTATCACAGGGAAAGGCTGGGTCAGGCACTTTTTAGATTATGCATCTTTTACTGTTGAAATTACCCTTGCCAAATATGTTTGGAGGTAGAGTTCACTTCCTGTTCTCCTAATTGAAACCACCATAATGCTTGTCAACAAGTTCACATTAAACTTGATGATGCCTGATGCCTTTTCCAAAAGCCTGTCTGTTAAGCCCTTTTGATAATATGAATATCTCTACAGATCCGCTGGTTCATCCTCTAACCTCCAGCTCGCTCCTCTCACTTCAGTCACATACACAAGCTCATGTCTGTGTGACAATCACGAAGGCCCTATGTTAGCACTTTGCAGAAGTGTACTGTATATCTAAGCAATAACACACGCAAGAACGCTGCTGTTCCAAATCAATACCAACAGCATTATTAGAAGTATGATAGCTTTCATAAAACATTTCAACAAACAAAAAAAATCGAGAAACATTTTAGACACAAATATTGTCACTTTGTCAGTTTTTGCTTCGCCAACGAAAGCAGGCTAGTCCAAACAAATCCAAAGCAGAATCTCTCGTTGGTTGAGTATATGACTCAAAAACTGTGTCCGAAATTGCCCTCTATACCCTTAGTGCACTAGGGCACAATATCAAGTACACACATTCCATTCCACAACGTACCTCAAAGTGCATTCACGCCATGTTGTAATTATCATAATTACGAGATTCCAACTTGTAAAAGGCATTCATATCCTTGTAGAACTCATAATTACACCTGATAAACTGGGAATTCTCTGAGAGCTACAATTTGTATCACCTGACTGCTGCAGTGTCAGCCTATTTGGCGTTAATAGTGTTGCCATAGAAAAGCATAATTCCAAGTCCAAGGACATGAACAGCACAGAGTAGAACGTCACGTGATTTGACATCACATTTCCAAATTATGGTAAGTACAACATGGCGTGGATGCAGCATCAATAACACGTGTATAACGATGTACACTTAACAACTATCCACTAGTGAATACTCATTCATTGTCAGCGTTGTGTCAAATCAATTCTGCGTCTCACCAGAAGATGGCATCCCCAGCACCTCCATGTTTTCATTCACGCATTTGGTATACTATATTAGTGGGCGTATAGGGGCCAGGATTGTCAACACATCCAAATACTTGCTCATAAAGATGGTCTCTTGTTTCTTAATGCTCATAAAGACGAAGACGGTTTTTCGTTCCTTGTTTTTTAATGATTGGTTGAGTGCATAATTAAAGGACTCGCTCACAAAGGTGTTTTTTTCTATCATTAACTCAAAGACAGACACTGATCGCCACCTACTGGCATAACAATATAAAACTACAGAAAAAGTGCAAAAATGACTGCCTAACGCAAAGAATAATAGTATAAAGACAAATCTGTTTCATTAAGTGCAATAAAAAAGAACCTGAATCAGATCTTCAATATCAGTATTTAACTATGGATCTCATCAAAGTCACACACAAAGCATTTGGGTCATTCACATATTCTGGCTACAGCCAGTAACTAATGAAATCCGGCACGTTCATGCAAGACATTTCCTTCGTGAATGCTTTGAGACCAACATGAGTGTACATAAAAAGGAACCAGCCCTCGATAACATTTACACCTAGCTTTCAAAAAGACGACGTTAATTAATTCCTTAACACTTTGATTGCAAAGTATTGTCAGGTGCTTGGAAAAGGGCTTCGGCCCTCCATCAGTGTTGTATTAGGAGTGGCCTGAGAGTGTGTAATTAAGGGGGTCTTTTATTCTGAATTCCTTGGGCATTAATTGAACAGGTGTTATATGTTAAGACGTTAATTTTTAACACCAGAGAACAGGCTCATTTGGCAGTAAGGGTGTGAAAAGAAGGAGGAAAAGCCGTTATTGCCCCCTCGTTATCCACCCACCCACCCAAGATCAAATTCAGACCAGACTGAGATGAAAACGGCTGATCCACATCTTAAGATATCAAGGCTCCGCTGCAGACCACTGCCGCCAACACCAACCAATAGTCTCAACTGCTACAATAGTTCATTCTGTTCATTCTCTCCTTGAACCACAGATGTTCTTTAACACCTTAATATGAAACAATTTTTCTTGGTTACACTAAAAACAGAAAAGTTACAGAAGATGTACATGCTGTGAACAGTGTATATAAGCCTACTAGGCAATGAAACATTTGTGAGAGTACGCTCATGGTAGCATAGTGGTAGTACACTTTTCCAAACATGCTATTTTTGATCTGCTGGAAATAAAGATCACAGCATCTGATTCAAAAAGCATATTGTTAAAAAAAAATTAAGTTAAACAAAGATCAAAGACTAGGATGAAAACCATGACTAAATTAACCCGTTAGGCCTATCTGAAAAGAATAGAAGACTCAAGATGTATACAACAGTGATGGCAGATGTTCAAAGCACCTACCTACCAGGACTAATATGCATCACTTTCATAAGATCTGCCTATGGAATATATAGGGCAGGGGTGTCCAAACCTGTTCCTGGAGGGCCAATGTCCTGCAGAGTTTAGCTCCAACCAGCTCTAACACACTTGCCTAGAAGTTTGAAGATCTTGATTAGTTGGTTCAGGTGTGTTTATGGTTGGAGCTAAAGTCTGCAGGACAGTGGCCCTCCAGGAACAGGTTTGGACACCCCTGATCTAGGGTGTATTTCTATTATGTAGTATTATGATGTCTTTAAAAGCTTCATGACATGAAATAGTGAGCATGGTTTGGCTGTGAATTGGAAATACTACCTTGGATGGCCAACAAAGAACTCAGGAATCTGCAATTCTTTTAAATTTCTCAAATAATTTTAAAGAAACGACTAGTTACACACTGAATTAAATGTGAATTTTGAAGTAGAAAGAAAGAAATAGTTTATTTGTTAGTTTGTAGTTTTATATAATGTTTTTCATTGGAATATTAGTCAATGTGCATGCCTCATTCATTAATCACCAATACTTTTTACAGATTTCATAGAATTCAAAAAATCTACTTAAGTTTTATTTAATCTTAAAACATCCTGCATTACATCCTCCATTTCCTCTTTCAAATAATGTTCTTTAAAAGTTATCTTTCTGACATACTTGACCAGATGGTTTGATCTTTCAGTTGATTCTTCACGTTGATTCTTTATCAGTATGTCATTATGTTTAAACTTACAATGGTCTTATCAAGCTCAGTATACTA